GGAGGGCGCGTCGGCGCAACTTGCAGACTGACCGACACGTCGGGCATCCGGCACTCCGACACCCCAGCCGGCAGCGCCACACGTCCGCGACAGGCAGGGCATTTCACTCTTTTCACCAATTGTGCTGTGACTTCGCTAGCTGCCTGACAACACCTATGTGTGCTGTTGATTCAGGGCATTTGCTATGGAAAGATTTGATGAGTACGACTGCACGTCCCCTCATTCTCACCAGCACCCGGACCGCGTCTCTGATTCTCTTGAGGATCCGATATCTGATGAGGTGCTGCCTCTCCTGATGCTGAGCTACATTGGCTTTGGTATTTCATATGTTCTTTATTTCCTTGGCCAATAAATGCCATAAACATTGTTGCAGCTCATGTGCAAAGAAACTGTTCCGAATTTCATAGTGTTGTGTCTGGACCCTGAACCACTCTACCAGATGCGCAAACTGTACAAATTTATCTGACATAGCTTGAAAATCTCATAAACATTGTTGCAGCTCATTGTGCCTTTTTATGCAAATTTATCTGACATCGCTTGAAAATCTCGGCATGTAGCAGCATATGAAATGCTTGTTGAACATGTGGCTTTTCTTTTATTGTATATCAACAGGATGTCCAACCAACAAGGCTCTCGCTGGCCTGTGCTACTACAAATAAGAGAGAGAAGGATACCAGAATGGCGGGCCACGATGAATCAACCATCTGGGATGAAGTTCGGGAAGAAGCTGATGAGCTAGCCCATGTGCATAAAGATCCTCATGCTCGTAGTGTCTCGCTCCTATCTGCTGGAACAAGCAAAAGTAATCACTGCAACTGCATCTCCTGTAATACATATTATGTAGGTTCTGATATTTCTTGTAGGCAGTGGAGGACTTCGGCATGTAAATGTTTTCTTGTGTAATTTTTTCGGGTGCATATTATACATGACTCGCTCTCCTTTTTGCCACTGGTGCAGGGAGCAAATGTGAAAACAAGCGCAAATTCTCAATACGTGGATTCAATTCTATCGTGTCAGGCGTAAAGAGTGAAAACTCGTATGCTGGGGAGCAAGAAGTTTCGTCAGGAATGCGACCAGCTAAAACTGTAGAAACTTTGATGGCTGAGCAGTTGGAAAATATCGATGAAGACACTGAAGACTTGCCGTCAGATTTTGCCCATCCAACCAAGATTGCAAACACTTCAGTTGCTGAACTTCTTGAAGATCTACAGGATAGAAGTGTCTCTTCTCTTAGAACACCATTTTCGGTGTGTATTTCTGTGCTGCTTCATTGTTTGGAGTTCTTAGAAAACAGCTAGCTTGTCTCTGAACATTTCAATGCAGATTCATCAACAAACCAAAGCTAAGGAAGGGAAGCCAAAAGTTCCGACTTCAGGGAAGAAAATACCAGCACTTCTAGGTCAGAGGGATCTTGATAGTGAAGAGCCCTCGGAGCATGCTATTGGTGAAACGTCTAGTGAGGATGAAGCGGAAGTATGTTTTAATATAACTGCTGTTATTCATAGTTGTTCAGTTGTACTGTTCGTCATGATACTTCATTCCTGCAACAGGATACTGTTCGAAACAACTTGACTATGGTGAACAAAGATGTGAAGGGAAACCGAAAAACTATGTCTGACCTATTCCAAGAAGCTTTCATTGCAACAGATATGGAGGGTACCGCACTCCCCATGAGATCAACCGGGTATAGTAACCCTGACAATTCCTTACCAAATGCGTGTTGAAATAACGCTGAACGTTATGCTATTCTAAATATTCTATTTCTCGTGCAGAGCTGGTTATTACGGAAGGATGCAACAGATTATGCAGATGGAGAAAGATAGGCATGCTGAGTTCTCGAGGCAGTATAACAAAGCGCAAGATTATTTAGGTAGTCCTTAGTTTTGCTATCGTGAACTTGTATAGTTATGCTAGATTTGCTAGTTGAAGCAGTTAGTAGTGGTACTACATATACATTCATAATAACCTTCATCAATGTGTATTCATATATTGATGATGCAGTGACTATTCGTATTGCCAGGTGATTCAAAGGGAGTTACTGTTCAAATTTTGACAAGGTCCTTGGAAGGAAAACTAACAGTCTGCCTCTGCCTGTTGAAAGAAAAGAGTAACGTCTGTGTTTCATCTTTATCTTTCAAAAGCTCTTCCGTTCTTTCGTTTACTTATTGCTTGCAGCAAATTAACATATTGTTTTTATACTCCCTCCGTCCCATATTAACTGTCACTCAAATGGAGACGTATTTCAGTGCTAGATACATCAGTTTGAGCATCAGTTAATATGGAACGGAAGGAGTACTATTTTCAAAGAAAAGTAATAATTGTTGCGCATAAAAAGTACTCCTCTGTACACTAATGTAAAACGTTTTTGCAGTTCAAATTGAATGCAGAAACGTCTTATATTATAGTGTACAGAGGTAGTACATGCTTGCTATTAAATGGTAATTGTAGGAGTATGTGCTGTGCAAGTCATGCATGTTAGATAATTTTCCACGTGGCATTTGGCCACTCTTTTTGAATGGCCCACCATGTACTGTCCAGACATTTAAGATAAAAATACAGTGCTACCCTTAGAACTATCTTTTAATGTTGTTATGCCCTCCCAAAACATATCCTTTCTGGGGTTAAGTTCTAACAAACCAAACATGCTAAGCGTCTCGTGCCAGTGTGGTGTTATCAGTGTATTTGTGTTTCTTTGCAGCTTCCCTTGACAGATTGTGACATGGATGGCAGCAGTAGTAAGAGGACCATTATCTTCAGTCCCAAAATATGTGACAATGTGGATCTTGTAGAAGGAAACATTATTCACATCCACCCACCATGGTATGCTTCTTGCAGTATATGTCTATATTTTCTTTGCTTGTTTCCGTTCTGTGAACCCATTTTCGTGTTTTAAGAGATATTATGTTGTAGGCTTGTTGCTAGAATGGTAGATCAATTTTGCTCAGTAGAACAGAGACACTTATTTCACAAACGAAGACTTCATGAATCGAAACTAACCAAGCGTGAAAAATATGGGAAGAGCTTCTATAGCCATAGACCCTCACCCACCCACTACGAAGCAGCAAACATGCTTCAGAATTTTCGCAGTACGAGCCCATCTAGAGAAATTTGATCAGGTGCCACAAGGCAGCAAGAACTACTAGTCATTTAGGGATGCAGAACTTAGAAAACAGCACCGAACACTTAAGAGTTCAGTCTGACGCTGCAGTTGGGTCCGGAGAATGATGCCCAGTTATGAAATATGGCTAACGCCCTAGTGCATAATTTGCACAAGAACAACAAGGGGGTTAACGTCTAACATATCGGTGCTTGCATCTCTCCTTTTCCTCGAAAAACACATGTTTTTTTTTGTTAGCTAGGTCGTCGCAGACTGCAATCTTCTCCTTTTTCATGCTTTCAGATGGGTCTAAGCAACCGCAGAATTCAGGAATTTGACAACCCCCTTACCTCAACAGGAAAGAAGTGAAAGTAAAAGAAGAGGAGGTGATGCTCTGCACCTACTTCTCGCATCACCCGGCTTGAATGGTACTCGTACTCGAGATCCTTCTTTTCTGCAAAACAAAAGGAAGGAGATGTCAGCACCGCATGGCAGGGGCCGGCTTACCAATATGTGTATAGTTTGAGAACTGTAGACAATGGTGTATGTACTGGGTAGAGTATGTGTCGCTGTGTGTTATACTTGGTGAAGATATTGAGCCAGTTTTGTCTGTACCGATGTATGTGTTACTTGTTGCAGCAGCTGCTGCAAGCATGTACTTCTCATTGAATCTGTAGAGTAGATAGGCAAAGCCCGGTACAAGTCAATGTTGCATAGGACCATTTGCCGTTGTTGCACTGCACAAAACAGAAAGAATGTTTCCATCATGGTATATGGATTAAAAATGCCCCTGTCCAACCCTACAAATATTATGTGGAAATATATGTTTCTTGTGTATGATCTTTTGTTCTTGAATTTCCCTGTTCCAAGACAGCTTTCACAGTACGCGTTCGACCAACTGAAAATATATAGTTGGTTCTTAATCTAAGTGTAGCAGAACTTGCTTAAGAGCACAGCTTTGGTTTGCGCTGCTGTAGCTTTTTAGAGATGGGCAGAAATTAGCGGTGCAATAAGAGAGTGTGAGTGCCAAGCGAATCATGCATGTTTCATGCATTACCTCTCTGTCACCGGTCCAAATTAAAGAGCGCAAAACTCGGCTGTCTTGAGAAAAAGGAAAATCCTCCCAGGCAAATGCTGAATACTCCCTCCGTTCCTAAATATAAGTCTTTTTAGAGGTTTCAAATAGACTACAACATACGGATGTATGTAGACATATTTTAAAATGTAGATTCATCCATTTTGCTCCGTATGTAGTCGCTTGTTAGAATCTCTAAAAAGACTTATATTTACGAACGGAGGGAGTATATCTTGTGCCTCCTCTAGCACGCATGCAAGATCGAATTTACGAGTAAAAACAGGCCCCGGACGTTGAATATATATATATATCTTGTGGATTCCCAGAATGATTACAACTTTACATACACAAATGCTTGCTCTGCCATCTCTCTTACAAATGCTGCTGTCTATGGTTACAAAGACTGAATTTTAACACCTAGGCTGCGCTTGGATGCGGTGTAATCAAATACAGACGTATTTAGTTTACGCGTGTATCTTACCGGCCACCAGTAGATTTTCAGCCGGAATCAAAAGGATGGGCGGAGATCTGTATCTTTTCTACAGGTGTATTTGAGATGAAACGACATTCCAAACAAAGCCCTAGGCTCTGTATTTACACTTGCACTTCAATAGGGGAAACCACTGTAACTGCCGTGACGCTGCTGTTCGCTCGCGCCGACGACGGTGAAAAGCTCTGTGTAATCGCAGAGGCCGTGCAGCTCATCCAGGCACGACGACTGCGCGGCGCCGGAGTTGGCATGGGCCGTCGCCGTCCGCGCGTCATTCGCCGCTACACCAACCGGGCCTGCCGTGGCGGGAATGAGATAGCTTGACGATCTGGTGCCGGCGTCATTCGCCGCTGCGCTAACGGGGCCTGCCGTGGCGGGCATGCGATAGCCTGACGGTCCGGTGGTGGCAGCACTCCTCCCGTCGGCGTGGCGGGGCCGCGGCCTGTGGAGCTGGTGCGCGGGCGCGGCGGCGGCACCGGATGGCTTGCCGGTGAGGCGCTGCACGAGGGACTTGAAGCCCGCGGCGTCGGAGGTGACGAACTGCGTCTCGATGTAGGTGACCTTGACGCCATTCTTGTTGTCCATGAGTCCTTGCTTGCTTGCTTGATCGAGCGAGCGCGCGTGCAGTGGCGGTGCCTTTGGTCGGTTTTCTCGATCTCCTCGTACGTGCGGCTGGCTCGTTTCTTGATCGCTCTAGCCTCAGGGTTGTGTGTGTCATGCTAGCCGTTCGGGGATGTTTATTTATATACGATACGAGACGGCGCTGAGATTCTGGGGGTGAGAAGTATTCTGGGGTTGCGAGGCACGAGTGAGGAGAGAGTGACATGCTGGCAGGCGTAAGATGGACCAGGTCAGGGCATGTGGTGGTGGGAGGGAGTTGAGACGAGGCTGGCAGGTGCTAGTGGCTGTGGCTGTGGCCGCGGTAGCAAGTCGAGGTGTTTGACTGGTCGGTCCTAGGGAGTTTGTGAGATAACGGTCAACTTTTGGAGAACGGGAGGGAGAGTTGGTCAAGCGCTCCTGGCCCTGGGGGAGTATGGTTTTGACGGCGCTTGTTATCTTCCTCGCCTCTCTTTCTCTCCCTGTCTTTGATGTTGACGGATCTCAAATATAACAAGCAAGCACAACAAGATCACAACAAATATGCATCCTCCGTGGCCCCGGCATCCATGCTCCCCCTTCGTGCTGGTTATGTGGTCCTGGCATCCACCCTCAACTCGTCGTCCCATTCCGGTGAACTCCTCTGCAAATCGGCATTCTTGTGACTTGTGAGCTTCCTCCGGAATCTTCACCTTCCCGTCATGTGGTGCTCTTGTTTTTTTTTTTTTGAACCGGGCTAATCCCCTTTCCATTATAGAACATAACGGAAACACAGCCATGTCCAAGAGAGCGAAAAAAGGGAAAGGAAAAAAACGAGTTCAAGCACGCCAGGGAAACCCACTGTAGACGCTCGCAATTGAGACGCCCACTGTGGGGCGAAAACCCTGGAGCACCAAGTTCTCTCGACACCAAAAGATAAAGAAGTCTAACAGTAACAACAGAGCCTACGCAGAGGCAGAGTATCAGGATAGTAAGACTGACGCCAAAACACTAAAGGGATTCGCGAAGAAGCACGATCAACTCCAGAAGAAGAAGCTCCCATTAGAAATAGCGCCTTGATCATCCCAGGGTGGTTCCCGTGTATGCAGTTGTGCAGAGACTCATCAGCTCCTTAGCATTCCTCTTCAGAAGCGCCGCGCCATGCTCTAGCTCCGCTCGCTCCTCGCCTTTCAGCAGACCTGCCCAGTAAGATAGATGTGTGCAGGCCATGAAGACAATCTCAAAAGGAGACGACAACTTATTGAATTCAAAAGTAGCCTGATTTCTGCGGTTCCAAATGGCCCAGCAAACAGCCGCTAGCCCCACAGTAAAGTGTCTCTCACCATGAGGAAGAAAAGCATAACACCAAGAGTAAAATTGACATAAGTTGTTAGGGAAAAGATCAGTTCCAAGCATCGCACCCACCGTGCGCCAAACTACCCTCGCAATAGGGCAAATGAAAAATAAGTGCAGATAAGTTTCCCTGCAATCGCAGAAGGAACACCGTGGGTTGCCAGCCCAGTTTCGACGTCTCATCACATCCCTGGTAAGAATAGCATCTTGAAATAGTTGCCACAAAAAAATTTGGATTTTAACAGGCAGTTTAGCTTTCCAGATCCATTTATAGTCGCACCCAGCGAGGTCCTTTTCCAAGTAAGGCGTACACTGACTTGGTGGTATATCTACCTTTAGGACCAAAGCCCCATTCAAAACCGTCACAATTGTCAGAGGGTTTGACAGTGTCAACAACCCTTTGTAGCCTCTCAAACTGGCAAGTCAGGTCGGCATTCGACCTGCGCCTGAACAAGCCCCTACCAGTCCTCGACTTATACTGGACAATAGTGTCATCCGGATAATTAGCAATGCTGAAAAGGTCTGGATATAAGTCACAAAGTGGGGGATGAGACCCAATAGGATCAAACCACAGACGAGCAATATTGCCAGAATTAATAATCACTTTCCTCCTGGCCATGTAAACATCCTTAATTTTCAAAAGTGATTTCCAGACTGGGGAGTCATTGAACTTGGGTTTAACAGTAGCAACCGAGCAATTCTTGAGGTATTTAGCCCTCACAACATCTTGCCACAAACCATTCACTGTATCCAGCCTCCACCACCATTTCACCAGAAGAGAGACATTCTGTTTGTGGAGATCTTTGATACCCAAACCCCCTTTACACTTAGATCTGCACACTCTGGTCCATTTGACCAAGTAGTAGCTTTTCTTCGCCATACCTCCATACCAAAAAAACTTGCGACAGTATTTGTCTAATTTTTTGATGAAAGTTTTATTGAGGAACATTGACATGTAATAGTAGGCAATGCTAGAAAGAGAGGAATTCAACAGGGTCAGCCGCCCTCCGGAAGAGGCATCATTGCCAATCCATGAATCACAGCATTTAAGAAACCAAATAGCTATAAACTCCCAATCCGAGTTTCTCAAAGAGGAGTAGCTGACTGGCACTCCTAAGTATTTCATAGGAAAGTGACCGATCTGGCAACCAAAAAGATCAGCA